GCCTCTCTGAGCACTTCCCCATCCATCACCACACTGCACGTCCAAAACTGGCCCCTCTGAGCACCTCCCCCATCCATCACCCCACTGCACCCCCAAAACTGGCTCCTCTGCCGAGGTGTGGACAGGAGGAAGGGGGGTGGGACCTGAAGTGGGGGTAGTGGGGTCTATCCCCTCGCCTTGGCTCCTGTAGCCATCCTGGAGCCAGAGAGGGGACAAGAGGAGGGTGACAAAGGCAGCTGGAGGGAGCAGGGAGGGGGGTGTCCTGGGGAGCAGTAGCTCCCCAGTGGGGAGATGCTGGAGTCAGAGGGAGCCGCAGGGGCCATGCCTGGAGCCCCATTCCCCCTGCGGCTCCCAGCCCGGTTCCCCAACCCCGCCCCGCTGCACAGAGGTCCCAGCCCACCCCCAGCTGTAGCCGCAGGGACAGAGAGGGACCCAGTCTGGGCAGGTGCACAGGGTCCCTCCAGGGGGAGCGGCACCCCAGGGCACGGGGGGGGGGGGCAGAAGTTGGCCGTGGGGTGGCAGCTTTAGGGAGCTGGCACCTCGGTCCATCCTTCAGCAGGCCCAGCTGACACCCAGTTCCAGAGGCAGCGTTGGGCACAAGCCCCCCCACCCCTGCCCACCAGGCTGTGCCGGGGGTCCAAGTGACAGGTCAGCTCCTGCAGCTGCCTCTATGCCCTGCCCCTTTGCCTTGATCTCGTGCCCCAGTTCTCTGGGCTTTTCTGCCCCAGTTCCTCTGTGTCCCGGCTTCTCACACCTCCCAGTCCTTGGTTCTCCAGCCGGGCTCTGTACTCAGCTTCCCTGCCGCGAAGTGGGAAATCCAGCTCCCTCCGGGGCTCTGCTCGCTGGGTGTCATTGTCCTGAGGGCTGGAGTCAGGGATTTCCCACGGATAGGGGGGTCAGCCTGGGCCAGTCCTTGTTAATGATCCATTCAAGCTCAGACAGCCAGGCCAGCCTCTGCTCCCTCCCCGGCCCATCTGATCCTTAGCCTGCCTTTTCCCCCACTGGGTAGCCATGCAAAATATAGGGGAAACTGAGGCACACAGGATTCATCGAAATCTTGCAGAACATTTGTCAAACCTTGATCCTCCCTCCCCCCAACGCTGCTGGACAGTCACCCTCCTTGGCTTATTTCTTCCCTCCCCTATTTTTTATTTTCATTCCTTTATTTAAAAAACAACCCCCCCTCCACCATCACTCAATGTCCCCATCCCCCACTGGAGCCTTCCTCCACAAGAGAGGAGCTGCTCCCCAGCGGGCTGGGGGGTGCAGGAACTGCTATGCTTAGCCCCCTCCCAAAAGAACGTGGCCCCCTCCCTGCCCCCGTGCCCAGGGCCAGCGGCCCCCTGCATCAGCAGAACGGCGGGGCTGGAGCTGCCGGAGGCCCGAGCCAGCGGCTGCGAGATGCTTCCACTCTATTGTGGGTCTTTTGTCATCCCCGGACAATGGATCAAAGAGGAGCATGTGGGGGCGACTCTATAAAAGCCCCGTCCCCCCCCAGCACCCCGCGCTCTCGCTGCCTCCGGCGGATCCCCAGGCACACAACATACAGCCGCAGCAAAAGCAGGAATTGATCCACTGTGTGACTTGTCAGCCCTCATTAGTCATGGCCTCTCCCGCAGGCCAGCACTGAAGGTAAATTACTTTAGTCCTTCTCTAGCCCTGAGTTCTCCCCACTGTCCCCCATCAATTGATCTGGCTGCCTGTCTGTCCCCACACACCCCCTCTATCTATCTATCTATCTATCTATCTATCTATCTATCTATCTATCTATCTCCATACACCCCATCTATCTATCTATCTATCTATCTATCTATCTATCTATCTATCTATCTATCTATCTATCTATCTATCTATCCTCAC